AACATCCTATAGACATGATTTCCACTAACTACCATGATTATGAATGCATTACCTATTCATAACGTTTCTTTATACCATTCTTATTAAGTTTTATTTATTTTTCATCAATTTCAAAAATTTGACAGAGTCTCCTTTGTAATTTTGATGTTTCTCAATTTACAAATACATTCAAATCAAATTCATATAACACATTTTCTTGTATCAAATAAGAACAATATCAATTTGCCGAGGGTCGGACACTCTCAGACTCAGTACACATTGCGATCCAACAAATTTTTTTTTTTTTTAACTCTTGTTATTCTAATCTTGTGTCCCAGAATGTCTCATTACACTATCATTCTCACATCATACATACTCATAAAATAAATAATAGGTCCAGAACTAAAGTTTTGTTTACACTTCTCTAGGAAGAAAAATCTATCATAAGCATTAGAAAAGTGTAATTTTGGAAAAATTCTCTGCCATCTAAACTAACTCCAAATTCTATGAAATTTTCCAGTCCAAAATACATATATTCTAGGATTATAATTCAAAATTTAAAGATTTCTAAGTCATTCAAAACTTTCCTCAATTTTCATACGTTTTGAAGATTCCACTATCAGGGCATTACTCAAAGATATATTTTTATAAAATAAAATAATGGTCATAAAATTATGAAAATAAATATACTTAACATATACCTACAATCACAACTATGATAAAAAATTCATCTCAAAAAACTTCAATTTCTATTTTATATGATTTTTCAAAGTTTCTGAGCGAACATAACAATTCTGTTTCACCCAACTCAAAACATATTTACTTCCAAGATTTTTCATCGAAAATCAACTGGTCCGAAAATTTTGAAATAAATCACACACAAACTAGACATATAAATGAACATGTAAACAAAATTTCATAATTAAATACCAAGTAAATATTTTTACATAATTTTCCAAATATTCTATTCACATGCAGATTTTTGTCCAATAACATCTCTCAACACATATTTCATCATCTTCCTCTAGAAAAATCCAATTTAAGTGATTTTTATGGCTAACTCTAGGTTTTAACATCCAAGGAGTCCATTTCTAAACTCTAAAATATGAAAGGAGCATTGTAGAGTATCTAAATATACTAGAACAGCCATACGAAATTTTTATAAAATATTCTAATTTGGTTCCAATTCATGTAGAAGTGAGATAAATGGTGGTTTAGCCTAGGATTGATGACAAGAAGACTCTCCTTACCTCAAATGAAGCTTTCAAACAAGAAAATGGAGATCCTTAGTTCAAAAAGAGTTTGTCTCCTATAAGCATCAAAATGACCATATGTTTGAGATTAAGAAGATTTTAAGAGATAATATTGAAATTCAATGCTTTAATTTCATGGATCTTACTCTTAATTGCAAAAAGAATGAACCAAGATGGTGTGGGAAATAAAAACCAAGCTTCTCTTCTTCCTCCTGTGCTCCCAAAATGGCTTCTGTAAGTGAGAAAGAAAATTGGTCTTTCTCTTCTTTAAATTTGACTTCCTTTCCAAAATTACCCTCACTTACTTTTTTCACTTACCAATTAAATCCTTTCATCAATGGGAAATTATATTACTAATTTTGCTTAATTATATTACTCTTATTATTATTATTACTTCATTTTAAACTCAATTCTAAATTTATCTATTTCACTCTATTACAAATTTCATAATATATATATATATATATATATATATATATATATTATTTATTAATATCTTTAAAAATTATCAAGTCTTAAAATAACTCATAATACCATTTTATTAAAGTTAATGACAAAATATTTTTTTATATTAATGAAATATTTTTGGGAAATACTTGGATGTTACATTAGATACTTGCATCATTGAGAGGTTAAACTTTGTAATTAAAATTTTATGTGGTGTAAGAATTTTAGTCTAAACAAAGTTTTTAACGATTTCATATCCCTTAAGGGTGGTGTATGATTTGCAGCATACGCTTGATGAAGTCACCTATATGAGTGTCGAGTGGGGCCGCTTGTATAAGATCTTTGCAAGATTTCTAGAGCACTCATGAATACCGGGCACGCGCATGACCTAGTAAGTGCAACACAACGATAACAACAAGAATTGTGGGGGTGTATTGTGATTATTAAAACCACTAACACACATTAAGTGTTTCGGTTCATATAGTTTGCTACACCAATTACATTGTGTGTTAAGTTTTTTAGTCTAAGACTGGTTCATATAGCTTGTTATACTAGCTCTGATGTATTACATCTTATATGAGACCCCAGATTTTCTTCTTTTATTTCTTTTATCTCTTTTTGTTTTGCAATATGTGGAAGATTGTTGTAAATTAAAGGGGTATTGCAAAACAAAAAATGTTTACAGAAGACTGATTCAGATAACGTGTTCTCACACGTTGCAGAAGACTGTTTCAGATAACGTTACAGATCCACTACCAAGTCTTTCATAACTGTTATAGATTTTCTCTTATAAATAGAGCTCACTTCACACTTTTCAGAACATACCTCTCTCATCTTCTCTTCTCTGATATTCTTTCAGTGATCCTGAGTTAATTTACTTTTTTGAGAGTTTCTTGCTAGTTTCTGAGATCCTCGGATGTTCCGACAAGTTACTGTTATATCCTGATAAACTTGCGCAATACACCGCGGATAAATCCTTAAGGGTAATGTTTATACATGTCTCAGAAATAAAGTTTGTTAGTGTCTGTGTCAGCTTTTATAATATAGACTTGGGATTCTATTGTGTAATCTGAAACATATGTAACATATATATGCATTATAGAGTTTTTACATGATGCCTTCTCAAAAGACACCATGGATCAAATAAATATCTGTTATTTATTTTTATTTTTTGCATGGTGAAGCAAGATGACAAAACAATTATTCATTTTCTTTTGCATTCAGTTCTTTCTTATGTATTAAACATAGGCTAATTGACTCCACATATACTTCATTTTTGAATTTTTGAATGATTTATTGAAAGAACATACATATAACATTCCAAAGCAAGATGTGAAATATATGCAAATCCTATCATGCTTTGTTGAAGATTTTTGAAGTGGAAAATTTCGCAAGTCTCTGCAACAAAGACTTCGTAATATTAGCATGATTTCAGTTAGTCTGTTCCTCAACTTCTCCATTCTAGTCCCAGAACCACATTAAACTGGATTAAGAATTATACAATTGATGATGATGTATGTGAGCATCGATGCACTGCATAAAGTTTAGCAAATGTTTTAGATTAAAATAGACAAGTTTATATACTTTTTTATATAATTCATTTCCATGTAGATTTCTATATGTTGTTACTTAGATCATAGGGTTGATTAAACTTTACGACGTATTTTTTAAGTGTTATTGATTCTGCCTGTTAGATTATAGGGCTGGAAAAACTTTATCATCCATCTCTCTAAGTTCTTGTTTTTATTAATTTTATTGTTAATAAGGAAATAAAGAGTAACATTTGAACGTATATATTACGTTTGTTTCAATCAATTTACATCTCGAGTCCGCATTTATCAAATTGTCCATGAAATTTAGAAGATTTGAACAGGAAGTTAACGTGAAATGTTAAAATTATTATTTTATTATTATTATTATTATAAATAAAAATTATCCATAATAAATTATGGAAGGATTTATATTAGATTACGTGAAGATGCATAATTGATTATGCAATTCTGTGTAATCAATTATATATAGAACTATTTGTCTTTAATTTTAATAAAATTATTTTTCATTTCTCATTATTTTACTAATTCTATTTTAGAATAATATGATGTAAAAAATTATTTTTATAATATAAAACATTCATTTTAAATACATAATAAAAAAATAGTTATAATATATATATATATATATATATATATATATATATATATGGTTAAAATATCTATTAATAATGGGATAAAGTATGTGAAATCAATATTTTAATTATATAATTTTTATTTTTGAAAATATATAAGAAATTGATATTTTTATTAATAAAATTTATATTATTTTATTAACTTTTAAAATAATGTTAAAACTTATAAATTTACATTGTATTTTTTAAATAATTTTTACAATTTAATAGTATTTATAAATTATTATAAAAAAATTATAAAATATAAAAAAATAATTAAAGACAAAATAATTTTAATTTATTTTTATATATTTTGTTAAATAATTATTTTATATTAAATCATAGATTGAAATTTACATTTATTTATAATAAATTTACATTAAGGCTATGTTTATCGTTTAGTAATTTAATTTATTATTTAAAATTTTTTTTATTACTCAAATTAATTACTATCTTTTCATTATTTTTTCTTATTTATCATTATTTTTCTTCCCATCTAAATAACTCCACTTTCTAATTTTTTTTCATATTATACTGAAAGGAAAATTACTTAAAAAATTTCTCTTTTATTTAAGTCAATAAATTAATAAGTAATGAGATCAAATTTATTATTTTAAGAAAAAAAATCAAACTTTTTATAAAATAACATCTAACTATAATTAACTAAAAATTATAAAATATTTTATTTAAATTTTATACATCTATTATTTAAGATAATATCAAAATCTAGTTATATCTAATTAAAAATTATAAAATAATTTATTTTTATTTTATCAAGCATATTTATATTATTTTAAATAATGTTGAGTAATTCCGTCAATAATATTATATTTCATCATTTTTAGGTAATATATTATGAATTTTACTTTTTTTTTAATTTTACATGACTTTTTTTATGACTTAATTCACACTTAATTTCCAACAATATATATATATATATATATATATATATATATATATATATATATTCAAGTAAATCAACATGTTAATTTTGTTTGTAGTGTTAATTTGCTTATACATTTTGAAATACTAATTATATTTACAATTTAATTTTGTATTTTTTTTTCTGAAATAAAATATTTGAACTCTATCATCGATAAAATATTCCGTTTCATAGAGGTAGTGTTCTGTCGTGTCCTGACTGAACTCTAAGAAGCATGGGTCCAAAACCAGGGTCGGACATGAAGATGAACGCGATGAGGTCAGGGATAGTGATTCTAGGAGCGCTTGCATTCGGCTACTTGAACATTCAAATCGGTTTCAAGCCTTATCTCGAGCAAGCTCAGAATCGGAACGCGCTCTACCAATCTGACCCTTCTCAAGAAAAATCGTCTTCAGCATTCCCAGATCGCCCTTCATAACCACACTCTGTTTGGAATAGGAGAAAAAGGAAGGAAATTTTGTTGTCCCAGTTGTGTGATTGTAACTAATTAACTAGTTAGTTTTTTATTGCTAAACTTTATGTATCTATTATATTTGTTATGTGGCTTACGCATTGCTTGGTGATGTGATATTATGATCTTGGTTTGTTACATGTGTTTGGAATTGGCAATAATATTTGTTCTCATTACTCCGAAAATGTTTTTTTCTCTCTTTTTCCTAGCCTGTGTTTGAGATACAGAGATGAAATTGAATTTAGCCTTTGATAGGGACTATGCGTCTGGTGTTTTGCCTTTGTGCTCTATTCAGATTCGTAGAGAATCTTTGGATTTCATGAACATAGAGCATTCACCAAACATTATTGTGGGTAATCAAACCCCAAGAACACATACTCAGTATGAAGCAGGATACAGTAAAATTTAGGCTGTATTGCTTGCTCCAGTATTGTCTATATTGTCCTCTGGAAATTCGGGGGATGCTAATCAAAGAAAACAGCTGCACAATGCACAAGTTAAGATATCAAAGGAAGAATGCCAATATAGGATAAGTGCTGTAAGATTAATGTGGGATCAATGTTTAATTGTTTGATATATGATAGCGTTGTGCATTGGCAATCCTCTGTGTGGATTGTGGATGGCATACTTTGAACGCACAGAAGCCAAATCAAGAGTTGATGGAAGAAAGGGAGAATGGTGTCAACCATCTATAATTGGCATCTCCATCAGTATAAGGTCAGTTTCTCCTTCCCTACCTGAGTGAATATTTTCATTCCCTTCATCCTTTGGTTTACATTGATGACACTCTGTATTTTAAGCTCATAAAGAGAGAGAGAATTAGGCTATTTCTATTTTATTTATTCTCAAACATAATAGGACTTTATCTCTGAGCATGATAGTAATTTAAAACATTGAATGTTTAATGATAATTTTGCGTCAATTTTGTCTGAGAAGCCTTAAAAATAGGATCCCAATTTGTGGATACCATTTGATAGATTAGTTAGTAAACTCTAACAATGTTAATTTTGAGTAAATTAATAATGAACATAAGAGTGAATTATAGTGCACAAGTAAGGAAATGGTTAAAAGCAAGGAAGATTGGTTTCTTCTATTGAAAAATTGATTGGATATTGAATCCAAGTTTGTGAGCTTAGGAATAAGAAGCCTATTTGAGTAAGTGATGATGAAGGGGATATCAGAGAAGCCTAAAAGCAAGGAGTGCTTGATATTTTCAGCATTGTTGAACTGCACTATTTTTAATATTAAGAAAAGGAAAAGCAGTATGCATTATTGTTTTAGCCTTTAGGCTTTTTGCTTGGAATGCTTACCGATCCTGATGGTTTTGTTGGGTTTGATTCACAACTCTTATCCACAATGATGACCGAACAACAAATCTACGGTTTTGTAGTGTTTGGATGCTTGATTGCACATCTTGTGCTTTAATCAATTTTATAATTAGTTATAATTACTTCGCCTTTCAAAACAAAACTGTCTGAACTTTTCCTCCATGATTTCTAGAAATTGATTTTTTTTTTTTAATATTCAGAAATGATTAAGGCATTTAGGCCTTTTTTTTCTCAAACTGCATAATTTGGTCATTGTCCTCTAGTCATCCATTTTGAGACATATAAAGAGTTAATACACGCAATTTAGTCCTGAAAATGGCATATTGTTTATCTTTGGTCCTTGCATATGTTTTAGCTCCTTAATTCACGTTTGCATTAGTGAGGCAAAGTTACTGGCATGACAAATTAGATTACACATGTACTGTTAAATCACTTTTTCGAATGCCTAAATGGATTGATTACAAAATTTGGACTAGTTTGTGAAATCTTCCACTCTGATTTCACAACCTAATGTCTCCCTTTCTGACACATAATAGAACATGTCTACCAACTATTTTCAATCAAACCCATGGAAATAATGATATGATAACTCTGGTCAATCAGGTGTATAGTGGAAGCATTTATGGGAATGATGGTGTTATGATCTTGTTGACTGTGGAAAAGATCATGGATGATAGAGTGTTAGAAGTGTGACTGCGGACTAGAGCGTTTAAAGCATCGTGGGAAAACTTGCGTAAAACAAATGGAGAGTACAAAATTTGATATATGCAACATTTCGATGGATATAACAAATTTAGAATGTGGAAGTTTCACATGATGGATGCATTAAGCCTACTGAATTGAAGATAACATTTATGTTACGGCAAAGAGAAAAAAAAACCTTCCGCACGAAGGATAATGAGAGGGATGAAATAATGAAGAGACTTTTTTGCAATGCTTCTATGTATAATTGATGATGTACTATAGGAAGAACTATCAGAAAATAGTCGCAAGATTGATTAAATTGGGCTTCTTGTATATGAAGAAGACGACCACAAATCGTCTTGGTTTGTAAACACTTTGAATGAACGAAGGAACGTTATCAGATCATATATTGTTGAGTTCATTTCACTTATTATGGATTTAAAAAATATGGAAGAGACATTCTTTATGAGCAACCAAACTGTGTTCATTTCACGGAACACTTAGTGTAAGCATGATAATGATGGTCGTGATGACCCATCAACAAACTTGTTTGCGACAGGGAGGTTTGCTCAAGTAGTTCAAGGAAAGTCCATATCAAATTCAAACATCGCAGGGAAAAACGTAGATACTGCAAGAATGAACAGAAACCCAAAGATGTAAAGAAAGAATGAGGCAAGTATGAGTAAGGCGATAACTATAACTGAAGGTGTTGAAAATTATCTCTTTGAATCATCTAGTTTAGTTGGTGATATGTGTGTGTGTCTATATATATATATATATATATATATATATATATATATATATATATATATATATATTATAAAAAAATGAATGAAGAAAGAAGATTACTTCTTTAATGTTTATATGGTTATTACGGGAATTCTTGAAAGCAACGATATCGAATGTTTTTTTTAATAAACTTTCTATTAAAGTACGTTGTTTGATTATAATATGTTATAATAAATATATATTTTATACTTTTTAAAATAAAAAATAATTTAGTCTTATAGGAAATATCACATATTTTAAATGATTCTTTGTGAAACACGCATTAATATAATTTCTTATATATATAGGCTAATTAATGATAATATTACATATTTAAAAGATAATTATTAAACTTTTATATGATCACACTCTAAATGTTTACCCTTTTTACTAATAAATAATAATAATAATAATAAGGATTATATCTCAGCTAATTAATTTCTAATTGATTTGCAGCTTATAATGAACTAATAATTTTTGAACAATATTTTCTTTCACTTAATTGATTTGTTGTTAAAAAAATAATGTGAACATTTATTTGGAATAAATTAAAATAAAATAACAAGTATTATACTAAAATAAGTAAATGAAAATGACAATCAATTTAAAATAAAAACTCATAATATAAAGTGAAATGGAGTAGTAACTCGTCTTAGTACTTCAAATATAAATTATTCAATCCAAATATTTAAGTGATTTAAAACATTTAATAAACCATACATTTATATGATATTTTTATTAAAATTCAATAAATGATTATTTAAAGTCGTTAGAAATGAAAGTTATTATTATTATTATTTTATTAAAAATAATAATTTGCATATGTAACGCAAGTAGAGCAGAGGTGGCATGAAGGTATTGACCCACTCTCTACACTTTCGCACATGAAACCACGTTCCAATAGAAAGTCCGATTTCCCCCACTCTTTAATCAACGTGCTCCACTCTCTCTCTACATTCTCCATTTCCTTCATCTTTCTTTAATACACTCACCCATGTATGCATTGCATGTCCTCATTCTCTATTTTCTTTTTCAATTTCCAATTAGAAGAAAATATTTGAAACACGCCATCCTTAGAAATAATAATCAGCAGAGTTATTACTTTTATTAATATTATCATAACAGATACCAAATAGTAAATAATAATCAAAACTGACCCATAAATAAATAGTTAGCGAATGTGATAAACATTTTAGTCAAACTGTGATTAAAGTTTTTAATCAACCACAAACAAATGAAACAGAGAGGATTAAACATGAAGCCATGAATGAATGCAATAGTTTCCTTGCTTGATCTCACCCATATATCTTTATTTATTTTATCTTTTGGCTTCTCATTCAAGCACCATATTCTGAAACTGACCCATCAAGCAAGGCTTAGCAAAGGGGCTAATGAACATTTCTTGCATGCCACCCTTCTGAGTTACCAGTTTGTCATCTTTCTCTGTCTTTACCTCATCACTCTTCACAACTTCAACCGTCATTACATGAACACCCCAATCACCCAAGTTCTCAAAATTCGGACTTTGAATTTCCTCGTCTAGACTCAATTTGTTGTCGTCTAAGAGGTCCCACAGCAATACGTGGAAGCCATGCCAGTGTTGGAAACTTTAAGGAGGGTGAAACGTTTAAGGTTGTTTGAACCGTCTGTTAGCGTTGTTGGGTTTTTTCTAGTATCTGCCTTCGTTATATGCAGCTTCTTCTACTTGGATTATAAAGAAGTCGCTGGAAGATTCGGTTTCTCAGGTCAATCTCAGAGGGTTACTTGGTGGCAACAGAAAAGAGGTTCAGTAGAGGAGCGTGTGCATCGAGTTGAGTTTCTTGGAGAAAATGGTGGTGGGTGTGACTTGTTTGAGGGTAACTGGGTTTGGGATGAAACTTACCCTCTGTATGAGTCAAAAGATTGTAGCTTCCTTGATGAGGGGTTTCAGTGTTCGGAGAATGGAAGACCTGATTTGTTTTACACAAAGTGGAGGTGGCAACCCAAAGCTTGCAATTTGCCCAGGTACACCTATGATGTTCTTGTTTTGTCCTTATATTTGGCATTTTCACCCTGAAAAACGATCAAAACAAAGCATCGGTCATTCATTGTTTTCATCACAATATCAAAGTCAATGATGAGTTTTCAGTATTAGAAACTCGGAATAATGTTTCCTGACGGCATAGTGTGTGACTATTTCAAAATTGGTCATATCTGTGTTACCTAATGATGCACAACTCAGAGAGTTTATTCTGACTTGGTGTTATTTTATTATTATTATTATTCTCCTTCTTATTATACTATAAGTTGATTCTAATAAAATCATTTAATTAGAATATCTTTAAGATTTTTTTTTAAATTACAAGCTAAAGTATTATTTTAATTTGGATAATATATATATATATATATTGTTTAAAATAATTCATTTTTTAATTTATATATATATATATGTATATATAACGTCTACTTAATGAAAAAAATAATATTAAAAACGAATGGAAAGAAGGGATAGATTGTGAATTAATTTTTTTATAAAAATTAATGTATTATAATTAGTATTTGCTAATGAAACACAATTTTTGAATTGGGGTGATTTTTCATTTTTTATGATTTTATAGATCAATATCCAATTTGTTTATAAAAATATATTTGGAGAAAAAGTAATAATACTTTTTAAGATTCCGTCAGAGATAAATTTTGTAAACCCATTTTTTATGTTTTTAAAAAAGGTAAATTTAAAATATATTTAATCATGAAAAAATTGATCAGAGATTAATTTTGATCTGATTTGTATCGTTAGGAAAGATTATCTATCCATAAAATTAAACGAATGAATCCGACTTTTTTATTATTCTTGTAATTGACAAATCTGATTTGATATGATTTTTATTTTTTTTTATACATTTTGGTTATTGATTGCAAAGAAGATGAATAATAAATAAATATATCACTTCATCAATGTGACATAGATGTTCTGTAAAGTTATTTAGATAAACTGTAATTAAAATGTTATAAAGGTCAATAATACCTCTTCTTTCTTATGGATTAAAAAGCAACACTTTGATCCTTCCTTATACATTGCATCAATGGCCTTTTCATTTATATTGATTGGTTTGATGGAAAAGAAGTGAACTTAGAACATTGGATTTGTCATTAATAAACACAGATTCAATGCAACGATGATGTTAGAAAAACTGCGAAACAAGCGCCTAGTGTTTGCTGGGGACTCAATAGGGAGAAACCAATGGGAGTCACTATTATGCATGCTCTCTTCTGGAGTTCTTCACAAGGATTCGATATATGAAGTGAATGGAAGCCCAATTACAAAGCATAAGGGGTTCTTGGTGTTCAGATTCAAGGATTATAACTGTACAGTGGAATACTACAGAGCTCCATTTCTTGTATTGCAAAGCAGGCCTCCTCCTAGAACTAATGGACAGATTAGGACAACCCTGAAGTTGGATCAGATGGATTGGTACTCCTTGAAATGGAGAGATGCAGATGTCTTGGTTCTTAACACAGGGCATTGGTGGAATTATGAGAAAACCATAAGAGGGTAACTCATCCAATCTGATTTCTATCATTTCAATATGACCCACCTATGACATTTATCTGAACAAATGATTGATTTGTTTTTTCTATAATATTCCAGGGGTTGTTATTTCCAAGAAGGCATAGAAGTGAAGTTGGAAATGAAGGTAGAAGAAGCATATAAGAGGTCAATTGAAACAGTATTGAACTGGATACAAAATTCAGTAAATGCTAAGACTCAAGTTTTCTTTCGTACTTATGCCCCTGTGCATTTCAGGTATGTAATTTGTTTCACTCTTCTAAAAGTATCACTTGCAACCAATCTATTTCTGTTAAACTTGTTGTACTCTAACTATTCAAGATTTGCATAAGCTCTTAGAAAAACTAAATTTCTCTAATATGTATCATGCAGAGGTGGAGATTGGAGAAACGGTGGAAGCTGTCATTTGGAAACACTGCCAGAGCTTGGTTCCTCATTGGTGCCTGATGATAACTGGTCACAATTCAAAATAGCCAATTCTGTGCTATTAGCACACACAAACACCAGTGAAGTTTTGAAGTTGAAGATATTGAATGTAACCCAGATGACAGCTCAGAGAAAAGATGGGCATTCATCCATATATTATCTGGGCCCTAATGCAGGCCCCACACCTTTCCATCGCCAAGATTGCAGCCATTGGTGTCTCCCTGGTGTACCAGATACTTGGAATGAGCTACTCTACGCATTGTTCCTGAAACACGAACCCTCTCACAGGCAGAACTAGTAATACTCAATCTCAAGCACATGATAAATACAGCTTTTAATTGTATTGCACAGATAAAATGAATATACCAATTTTTTCCTACTTTAGCTTATTTACTTTAATTAGATTAGATTGTTTAGAAAAGGTAAATGCCAATGATAGTGTAATTATCAATTTTGTTATTAGTTGAATTGCTAATGTAGCTTTTATCTATATCTAAAAGTCCAGTAGTTTACTTACTATAATTTGTTTTCATAAATTTAATAAAATCTATTATTTTTTTTTATAAATTTAAAAACATTATTTTGTATCATATAGGAAATAATTGAGGCCAACAATACATAGTAAGCTTAAATTATTTAATGAAATGCAATTAAAATAAGTCTCGTAATTTTATTATATCTATACTTCTACTCTTACTTTTCTGTCTCTATATAGTTTAATCTATAAAATTTAGGTTTAATTATCTTTTTAATCTTTAATTATTTTATTTTATTTAATATAGTCTTCTTATTAATAATGGGTTAAATCAAGTTCCTTAATTTTTACAAACGCATAATTGAGTCTATTATTTATTTTCAATGAGTTGAAAACGGGATTGTTTACTGGTGCAACCAAAAAGAATCATTGAGTTGAACGAAACGGATGTTGCCACCATTATCCTGGGTTATTACAAAGTGTTAAGTGTAAGAAAAATTATTTAATAAAATTTGTATATTATTTTTATATAATTTGAATATTTAATACAATATACACTTCATTACATAAATAGAAAATGCATAGCTATTATTATAAAATAAAAATTATTTACACAAATATATTTAAATTTGTAGAGACCAAATAAAATTATTTTCTGAATAAATAAATAGATAAATCTATTTCCCTGTTTTCTTTTCACTATTTTCTTCATGATATTATTATTCATTATCCATTTTGGAAGCAAGGGTTCATTTAGCACACATTTTTGTTCCCAGTAAGTGTAGTTTCGAAATCACTATCAATGGCGAACGCGTACTTCTTCCTTTTCTTTCTCCTTCCCCTGCTTCTTCTGGTGGTACTCTATTTCCTGGTTAAACCGCGTCCGGTGAAGATCCCGATAAAGAACCGGCACGTGTTCATCACGGGCGGATCCAGTGGCATTGGGCTGGCGCTGGCGCATCGTGCGGCGGCGGAGGGCGCGCGAGTGTCTATCCTGGCGCGGTCGCTGGGGAAGCTGGAGGAGGCACGAAACGCTATCCGGCTGGCGACGGGAATCGAGGTGGCGGTGTTCTCAGCGGACGTGCGGGACTTCGAGGCAGTGAAGCGCGCGGTGGACGAGGCCGGGCCAATCGACGTGCTACTGCTGAACCACGGCGTGTTCGTGGCGCTGGAGCTGGAGAAGATGGAATTGAGTGAGGTGAAGTTCACCCTGGACGTCAATCTCATGGGAACGTTGAACTTCATCAAGGCTGCGCTGCCCGCTATGAAGAACCGTAAGGATCCGCTGCCCGCTTCCATTGCCCTTGTTTCCTCACAGGCCGGTCAGGTAAACCTGCAACTCTTTGTGCCCTCGGTTATTTCTTATCAGAAAATCTATTATGTGAATTACTATTATTGAATTTATACATGTGAATTATTTGGTTGTATATATGTACATTTTTTTAGGTTTTGGTTTCTATAACTACAAATAAATGTTTATAGTCCTAATGTATACACCTTTTACTTCGATTTAGGCTTTGCTGACTCTATAAAATTGACCAGATTAAACTAAAAAAATTATCTGTAGGAAGTGAAACGAGTTAAGCAGTGTATGTACAAATAATAAAATGGGTAGTTTCTAAGTGCATGTTTGGATTAAAGTTTGCAAAAGCAATTCAGGTCATACTGCTGCAGAACTAAGTTCGCAGAGAAAATTTTAATGTGCAAATATGTTTATGAGAACAACCAAACGTGTCACATGACCGAGTTTACTTTCTAAACCCAGTTTGAAACATTCCAAACTGAAAACCAAACATAGCCTAAAGCATAAAGTTTTAACAGGTATAAAGACTAAACATATTAAACTACATTGTTTTTATTTATTTGATGTGGAATTTATGTTTATGTTAGGTGGGCATTTATGGTTACGTAGCTTACTCTGCGAGTAAATTTGGCCTCCGTGGTTTAGCAGAGGCATTGCAACAAGAGGTTATAGCTGATAATATTCATATTTCATTGATTTTTCCTCCGGATACGGATACCCCAGGATTGGTAGAAGGTAGGTATTGAATTGGATGCTTGAGTTTATTTCCTCATACTACTTTTGCTAGTTGCTACTTCATTTTGCATTGTAAATGGGCTGTTAGTTTATGTAAAGCTCACCATAGAAATCAAGTACTTGCTGTAACTCCTTCAAATTACTTGGGGTGTGCTTGATTTCAATTTCCAGAAAATGTTTTTAGTTTCCAAAATGTAACTAGAAAAGTTGCTCAAATAGCTGATAGAGAGTGTTGCAAGGCACGGAGCATACTGTGAAATTGAGGAAGATGTTGAACAAAATGAAAATAAAAAGATGACAAAAATCTTGTTTCTGTTTTTTAGTTTTCAAAACACTTTTTGGAAAACAGTTTTCATTACATAACAGGCTTTAAATGAGAAATAGATAGTTGAGTAGTGTGAAATTGTTTTAGTTTTTAAAACTGAAAAATGAAAAGATAATCAATTGGGGCTTAAGTTTGTTACACAATTTTCTGCATCAATTGCCGATTTAATAACTCCAGCTTCTTTATTATCAGAATGTCTCTCTTTTCTGTATGTGATCTAAATTCATACATTTGACTGTTGTCTTGTGGGATGTTATTGTATGAAGCCTAATTACAAACTTATATAGATTAGAGAATGAATAATTATTGCTTAAGATAGTAAGTTTAAATCCATGATTACTAAATATCCATTTAGAATTTATGCTTTCATGGTACAAGAATTATTGCTTAAGATAATAAGTTTAAATCCATGATATTGTATGAATCCTAATTACAAACTTATATAGATTAGAGAATGAATAATTATTGCTTAAGATAATAATTTTAAATCCATGATTACTAAATATCCATTTAGAATTTATGCTTTCATGGTATAAAAATAAAATTGGTGCTTTCAGCATATTAAATGTTTGTTTATAGCTGATAGTTTATGTATTATCCTGTGATCAAAGTTGAAGTACAAGCTGAAAGGTTACTTGTACAGAAAACAGGAGAAAACCGGAGCTCACAAAAATCATTGCATCCTCATCTGGTTTTATGAAAGCTGAAGAAGTTGCTCAGAAAGCTTTCGATGGTATAAAATGTGGCAGCTTTATTGTGTCTTGCAATTTGGAGGGAATTGCACTATCCATAGCAACTGCAGGTTTATCCCCTCAGAGATCTTTCTTAATGGCCTTTGTTGAGGTAATTGCTGCTGGAATCCTACGGATTGTTGCACTAGGTATGCATTGGAGTTGGTATGGAAGTATAGAGAAATATCACAGCCAAAGGAAGGGTAAGTTCTGTCCAAAATGATATATTTATATTATATGAAGGGATTGGGACATAATCGCTTGTTTTTTCTTAATTTAATTCCCATCTTTCCGAACATGAAAAGATTAGTAATGCCTTTACTAATTCTATCTATTCCTTCCTATACTTCAGCCGCTTTTCAAATTTGTTTCTAGATTTAGAAAGTAACAAGTTTCGCATTGGACACTTAGATCTGATTGGCTCCCAATTTTGACAAGATATCCGGCAACTGCGTTAATTTGTGTCGGCATGGCAAATGGTGTGCGATTGTGGCAATCAATTTAGTCATTCATTAACAATTTGTTCAGCGGAAACATCTCCAGTTTTGTTCCTGGGTTTTAGAAGTCACAATTTATTTTAAGCAGTCTTTCAAATTAATTGTTGACAAGAGTAGTTTTATGGTTTTTTATCTGGTTAAAATATGAGATTGGATCAAGAACAAATTGAATTTTTTTTTTTTTATTTATAATGTTATTTGTTTATTTAGTATCTGTCGTTTGCTTTCATTAGTGACTTTGGTTCATACACTGTAATTAAACACGTAGTGAAAACAAAATGATATAATGGCCACACCAGAGAGAGAGAGAGAAAATGATATAATATTCGAATTCAAAATGTTATATTAGGATGTTACTTTTATCTGGTTGGAGCCTCTTAAAGTATCACCTGTGTCCTGTAAACATGTTACTGCTAATTCAAATGAATCGCCCAAGGTAGAACTTGTGAGACTGATGATTTACCCTTCTAACAGGTTCATCCCGAAGTAGCTGAAACAGAGTTCTATGCCCTGTTTTAGGAGTTATATGCAGATACTGGGATTCAGCTTTCTTCCACTCTGCTCTACAGTGAGATTAACACAGGGTAATTCAAATGAGAACTCGATAAACAGCAAGTTGTCAAGCTTCATGTTTCTGACTTTCATCCACAGTGCTTTGATAGAGAATGAATAATGACAATATGGCACATCTTGTTTTTAAACCTTATATAACTTAGTTCTTCGTAAATTTACAACTTTTGCATGTAGTTCTTAGTAAACTAAATTCTCGATTTAGTCTTCGATTAAAATTTTATTTCTATTTGATCTGGATATTCTATTTTAGTGTTTGTAGTTTACTGACAATTATTAAGTGATATGTCGATGAATGAGTAGAACTGACATATTAATATTTTGTTTCATTCGCAGTTTTTATATTTTACTTTTGATTCTTTATAATTTATTTTTCATTAGGTCATATAAATTTTTTACTTTTGTTTAGTTCCTATCATTTATTGACATATTTAAGTGATGATTGACTGTGACTATGTCAGCAGTTGATGTAAATAATTGAGTAGAAGAACTAATACATGTAATTTTATAGAAAAGGTATTTTGTATGAAAGAAAAAAATCAATCAATGTGATGCAAGTAATATTAAGTCCTGACTTGTGCTTCATTCATTCAACTTTTCTTGGAGATATTGTAAGAATGTCTTTATGCTATTCTACCTTGACTTGGGGTTTATAACAGGGAAGTTTTTCTATAAATGAGATGGGAGGCTATTAAAGCTAGCTGTACTATTTCTTATGTGTTTTATGCCAACATTTAAGAACGGTACCTCGTGTATTTCAAGGTAAGAAAATTATTGGTGAGTAAATTGAATGAGTTTTTATAATGAAGAATGTGTTGGTATATGTCATTTTGTATGTATTTAGTTCTGATATGAGATTTTTTTTTTTTTTTCGGGGGATGAATGCCATGTAAACATGAGATTATGAGTTTAACGAGTAGGAAGATATTGTAGATATATAAAGTGAAAAAGCTGTCTTTATATTTATATTCTTATTAGGTGAGAAATTATCACATAAATAGTTGTTTACTTTTTATTTTGCTTTGAAGTTTAATTGTGATTTTTATTATTAGTGTGTTAAAGTCATTTTAGTGTTTAAAAATATTTTATTTGAAAATTTTTCTTTATATATGTATATATATATATATATATATATATATATATATATAATGTATAAACTGTATTTAAAAAAGAAATATATAAAATTATATTATCTCTTAATTATTATATTTTAATTTTTTTCAGAGAATTACTTAGGTAAAAAAGTGTCACAATATATATTATAGGATTCAAATTTTTTGAAAGTGCAATATAATTTAGAAAGTAAATAAAAAATATCGAATTTTATGAAATATATTTCAACATATGATTTTCTTATTAATGATTTAGAAAAGGAATTTTTAATTTTAGACCAATCAAGTTTGTTATATAATTTATTTAATTTGATTTACCTATTTATATAATTTATTTAATTCGGTCTTTATATAATTAAAAGTTTTAATGAAATTCTTCTATTTTTAAATTAGCATAAATTTGATGCTTTTATTAGATTATCTGATGACGTTGTAACATTTGACTGAATGACAAAATTGATGCTAATTTAAAATTTGAGGAATTTAATAAAAAATTTTAATAATATAAGGATAAATTAAATAAATTATATATAGGGATAAATTATATAAATAATATAGGGACTATAAAAGTAATAAATGTCAATACGTATTTTAAATTTTTATTTAGCAGTGATAAATTAAAACCTTAGATATAAAAATAATTTAAAAATATTTATTTTAAATTTTCTTTAAAATAAAAATATTATTTAGATGCTGCTGAATTACTAATAAAAGAAATGCTGATGAATTATATATATTTTTAGACTTGAACGTTTTAGAAAACTTATAATAAAACAAAATTTCACATACTCATTACATAGAAAGATTTTATTTTTATAGAAAAACAATAACAATTCATCAAAATAAATCATTCATTAGTTTAAAAGGATTCAAGATTAATATTAATAAACTGTTCTTTCGTTAAAATGACTCGTATCATCTTCTCTTTAAACCATTCTCACTGGACAGAAATTCAAGTGATTTTTTATTAAATAATAATGTCAAAACCTCATAAGACTGAATTTCATTTAGTCGTGACAAAAAACAATATTAAAACAGTGGATGCATTACAGCATTTTTCATGAAGTAATTTATCACTTCCTCTCTAATTTCTTTCTTTGTATTTCTTAAAATACATCATTTAAAAAATTTATTTTTTTATCTATTTGAAAATGAGACTACAGTAACAATGTGGTACTCTCAGAATATTCCTCTTGTTCATACAATGAAGCATTTTTATGTTTTGACAGGTTGTTGTGGATACACCTACTACATCTTCCACAGATGCAAATACATATGTACTGCTCCTTTCTTTTCCTTACAGCAAAACTTTTGTCAAACAGTAAGTAGGCTATTTCTTTTTTTATGTAGCCTTGCATTTATTATCCCATGCATCTTTTGCACATATTTGTGATACAAGACAGAAAAATAAGACATGGACAAAGCATGGTTAACTTCTCTTGAGATTAACTTCATCTCTTTTTAAAGTACACGCTCTATACACTGTGCATGGGAAATTTTTTACTCATTCGATAATTATCATGGTGAGTTCAATACTTTGTGTGTAATGTGAGAACAAAGTTTCACGTCATGGTACTTCAAAGGGGATACCTCCATTCAAAATATCCCAAAATTTCTTTCTTTCTCTAATATTAGAAATTGTTATCATTCTTAAGACTAGAGAAGGGATATGTAATTTTTCTTCCTATTATAAAATTTCTACTTTTGTCTATTATTGTTCTTATTCCGTTGCGCTAGCCACTAGAATAGTGTTGGTAAAATTCTTAGTATGTTTTGTGGTTGTGGTTTAATTTGATTTTCCACATCAAAAGGTGTGGTAGTGTGAAACTGTTGTCTGGGGAAGTTCTGGCTAGGAAAGACTTGGTATTTAAGTGTGTCCATTAGTGATTCAACTCTCTTTCCTGGGAACTTACCTGACATACTGGTTCATGGTCTAATACTATTGTTCCAGTAGACAATATTATTCATAAGTGAGAGTTGCATAAGTGGAAATACAACCATGGCAGCAAAGTATGAGATATAGAAGTTCAACAGGAACATTTCTCGTTATGGAAATTGAAGATGAAGACAATTTTGAGAAAGGACAATTGCCTTGATGCAATTGAAGGAAGACCCGCAGAAATGACGGATCAGAAGTGAAAGGAAATTGACGGCAATGCTATCGCAAATTTGCATTTAGCAATGGCAGATTCCGTACTATCCAATGTTGCGGAAAAGAATACAACAAAGGAGATTTGAGATGCCCTCATCAAATTATGAGGTGCAATCTCTTCACACAAGGATATTCTTGAAGCGGAAACTCTACACTCTTCGGATGAGTGAGTCCACATCGATGACGGACCACATCAATCATTTGAACACCTTATTTGCCCAATTATCAGCAACAAATTTCAACATAGTTGAAAATGAACGTGCAGAACTTCTACTTTAGAGCCTACCAGACTCGTACGATCAACTCATCATCAACATAACAAATACTAATATTGAAGGAAATTTACACTTTGAGGATGTTGTCGGAGGTACTCTAGAAGAAGAATCCAGACGCAAGAATAAGGTAGATAGATTGGAAAATTCCAAGCAAGCAGAGGCTTTGACGATGGTGAGAGGAAGATCAACAGAGTGTGGCTCCAGTGAGAGTCAAAATCATGGTAGATCAAAATCTTGAGGAAGGAAGAATTTCAAATGCTACTATTGTGGCATGAGAGGACACTTGAAGAAAGATTGTTGGAAGAAGAAAAAATGCAGAGAAGTCTTATGAGGCAACTACATCTCAAGGATGTGTTGCCAATACCTCTGATGATGGAGAAATCCTGTATAGCGAAGCAGCTATTGGTTCCAAAGGTGAAAAGCAGCTCACTGATGTTTGGATAATAGATTCGAGAGCAACATGGCACATGACTTCACGAAGAGATTGGTTTTGCACTTATAAACCTATCTCAGAGGGATCTATGTTCATGGGTAATGATCACGCCTTGGAAATTGTTGAAATCGGTACTATCAAATTGAAGATGTACAATGGTACTATTCGCACAATTCAAGGGGTACGACATGTGAAGGGCTTGAGAAAGAATTTATTGTCTATTGAACAATTGGATGACCTCGGTTACAAGACCCATATTGAAGGTGGGATCTTGAAAGTAGTAAAAGGTGCTCTAGTAGTGATGAAAGCAGAGAAGTTTGTTGCAAACTTATACATGCTTTGGGGAGATACGTTGCAAGAGACAGATGTATCAGTTGCATCAGCTAATCAAGAGGAATCAACAACAATGTGACATCGTAGACTAGGTCATATGTCAGAACGAGGCTTGAAGGTCCTTGCAGATCGTAAACTCTTACCCGAGCTCACATCGGTAAGCTTACCTTGAGCACTGTGTGACAAGCAAATAAAATAGATTGAAATTTGAAAAGTCAACTACTAGAAGCAAACATATACTTGATTTGATACATTCTGATGTGTGGGAGTCACCGGAAATGTCCCTAGGAGGAGCTAAATATTTGTTATCATTTATTGATGAGTACTCTAGGAGATTGTGGGTGTACCCAATCAAGAAAAAGTCATATGTGTTTCCTGTTTTAAAGAAATTCAAAGAACAAGTGGAGCTTGAAACTGGGAAGAAGATCAAGTGCTTAAGGACAGACAATGAAGAAGAATATATAGATGGTGAGTTTCTGGCATTCTGCAAGCAGGAGGGTATAAGGAGGTAGTTCACGGTTGCCCATACACCTCAGCAAAATGGTGTAGCAGAGCGGATGAATAGAACTCTCCTAGAGAGGACTAGAGCTATGTTGCGAACAACAAGGTTAGCCAAGTCTTTTTGGGCAAAAGCAGTGAAGACAGCTTGTTACGTGATAAATCGATCCCCACCAACTATGATTGGTTTAAAGACACCTATGGAGATGTGGAAAGGAAAGCCAGCAGAGTACTCTTCTCTACATGTGTTTGGATGTCCTGTGTACGTAATGTACAACTCCCAAGAAAGAACAAAGTTGGATCCAAAATCTAGAAAATGCATATTCTTGAGCTATGCTGACGGACTTAAGGGGTATCGCTTGTGGGATCCCACTGCCCGCAAGGTTATTGTCAATAGAGATGTAATCTTTACAGAGAATGAACTAAAAAGTGAATAGAAAAATGACAACACTTCTAAAGATGTTGTTATAGATGTTGCTACTATACAAATAGATGGAAAATCTTGAGAAGAAGATTCTTTAGAAGCAGAACCAGAGATGAGGAACAAGAACCAGAAGAGGCCAATGATACAGAAGTTCGACGAATAACACGTCAGAGAAGAAGACCATCTTGACACTCAGACTATGTAATGACAAGTCATGACGCATACTGTCTTCTAACAGAAGAGGGAGAACCGTCAACCTTTCAGGAGGCTGAGAGTAGTTCAGATGTTTCTCTGTGGATGGCAGCAATGCAAGAAGAAATAGAAGTCTTACACAAAAACAAGACATGGGAGCTTGTTGCACTTCCACAAGGTCGAAAAGTCATCAACAACAAATGGGTTTATAAGATCAAACGTGATGGTAATGATCAAGTGGAACGATATCGCGCAAGACTGGTAGTAAAAGGGTATGCTCAAAAGGAAGGCATTGATTTCAATGAGATATTCTCTCCGGTGGTTAGACTTACCACTATCAGAGTAGTGTTGGCTATGTGTGCTGCATTTTACTTACATCTTGAACAATTGGATGTAAAGACTGCTTTTCTTCATGGAGAACTTGAAGAAGAAATTTATATGCTCCAACCAAAAGGCTTTGAAGAACAAGGAAAAGAAAACTTGGTTTGTAGGTTGACCAAATCTTTGTACGGTTTAAAGCAGGTACCAAGGTGTTGGTACAAGATATTTGATTCCTTCATTATTAGCCTCAGATACAACAGGCTGAGTTCAGACCATTGTACGTATTACAAGAGGTTTGATGATAATGATTTCATCATTTTGCTGTTGTATGTGGATGACATGTTGGTGGTAGGCCCCAACAAAGATCGAGTCCAAGAATTGAAGGCACAGTTCGCTAGGGAATTTGATATGAAGGACTTGGGACTCGCAAACAAAATTTTAGGGATGCAAATTCACCGAAACAAAAAGGATAGGAAGATTTGGCTCTCTCAAAATAATTATCTTAAGAAAGTCTTGTGGCGCTTCAACATGCAAGATTGTAAGTCAATCTCTACCCCATTGCCTATCAATTATAAATTATCCTCAGATATGTGTCCTAACAGTGAAGCAGAGAGGATGGAAATGTCTCGAGTATTGTATGCAACGACAGTGGGAAGTCTTATGTATGTTATGATTTGTAAGAGACCAGATATTGCACAAGCAATTAGGACGGTTAGTCGATTTATGGCAAATCCTGGTAGAGAGCACTAGAATGTTGTAAAAGGATCCTAAGATACATTAAAGGAACCTCAGATGCTGCATTATGTTTTGAAGGATCAG